AAAACTTCTGAATGTAGCTGAAAAGATTGATAATCAGAATACATTAAAATTAAGAACTTCTGTTCATAAAACACCTCATTAAGAAAACAACTCACAAGGTTGAAGAAGATATTCACAATACATGTATCCAACAAATATATGCAGAATATATATGCAGAGCTCCTACAAATCAGTAAGAATGAAAGACAATCCAAGAGAAAAAAGGCAGGGGAGGGGCAAACAATTTGAACAGATCCTTCACAAAAGAAAATATTCAACATGGCCAATAAACATATAAAAAGGTGCTCCTCTTCATTAGTCATCAGGGAAATGCAAATTAAAACCAAAATGACATACCACTGCACACCCACCAGAATGGATAAAATCTTAACAATGGAAAATATCAAGGGTTAGTGAGGATGTAAAGCAACCACAACTCTCATACATTGCTGGTGGGAGTGTAAATTGGCACAAATACTTTGGAAACTATTTTGCACTATCTGTTAAAACTAAATATACACATACCCTTTGACCCAGCAATTCTACTCCTAGTAATTCTATTCCCACCAGAAATGTGTAGTTATTTCCCTAAAAAAACATGTTCCAGAATATTCCAAGCATTTCTATCCATCATAGACAAAAATTAGAAATTATCCAAATTAACATTATAATGAATAAATTGCCATTAACAATAGAATGAATAAATTGTCAGGATGGTCTACAACAACATGTAAAAATATGGGTAAATCTCACAACATAATGTTAACTGAAAAAATGGTCCATATTCAGCCCTGTGCGGTGGCTCACGTCTGTAATCCCAGCACTTTGGAAGGCTGAGGCGGGCTGATCAAGAGGTCAGGAGATCAAGACCATCCTGGCTAACATGTGAAACCCCATCTCTACCAAAAATACAAAAAATTAGCTGGATGTGGTGGCAGGCGCCTGTAGTCCCAGCTGCTGAGGCAGGAGAATGGCGTGAACCCGGGAGGTGGAACTTGCAGTGAGCAGAACAGAAATCTCACCACTATACTCCAGCCTGGGAAACAGTGCAAGACTTCGTCTCAAAAAAAAAAAAAAAAAAAAAGTCCATACTCTATGATTCCATGTCTATAAAATAAAGAGGAGAAACTAATCTATGCAAATAGAAGTCAGGATAGCAATATTCTTGTTGAGTAGAATAGTGACTGTAAAGTAAGACTGGGGGTTTCTCGGGGTCTGGAAGAATTCTATTTATTGATCTGAGTGCTGATTTCACATATTTATTCAGTAGGGCTGCGACAAAGACAAAGCAAGCAAGGTATCCAGGTATCAAAATTTCAGGAGGTCCTTACTCTTGGTCCTTACCCTGAGATCTTCCTTAAAATATGCTCCCCAGGCACCTTGCTTGTGTCACCCTCATCCCAGCTCTAGTGTTCAGTTTGTGAATATTTATTGAGCTGTATCACTGATACATATGTTTTACTGTATGTTTATTATTCTTGAATTTAAAAATGTTAAGAGGGTCTGGTCTATTTCACTCCATAAATAAAAATAAACTTTAAGTGGATTATAAACCTAAATGTAAAAAGAAAAATGTTAAAACTTTTAGAATAAAATATGAGAACATTATTAGTGACCTCAGGTAGAGGATTCTTAAGGATATCCAAAAGCACATATTAAAGGATAGACTATATTAAAGTTAAAAACCTATATTTCTCAAAAGACCTCTTAAAGAAAGTGAAAAGATGAGCCGGGCACAGTGGCTCATGCCTGTAATCCCAGCACTTTGGGAGGCCTAGGCGGGTGGATCATCTGAGGTCGGGAGCTAGAGACCAGCCTGACCAACATGGAGAAACCCTGCCTCTACTAAAAATACAAAATTAGCTGGGCATGGTGGCACATGCCTGCAATCCCAGCTACTCAGGAGGCTGAGGCAGGAGAATCGCTTGAACCCAGGAGGCAGAAGGTTACCGTGAGCTGAGATCGTGCCATTGCACTCAGGCCTGGGCAACAAGAGCAAAACTCTGTCTCAACAACAAAAAAAAAAAAAAAAAGAAAAGAAAAAAAGTGAAAAGATGAGCCACAAACATGAAAAAAATATTGCAACACAAATGAGTGAAAAGGAATTATTACTAAGCACATATTTTTTAAACCATTGAGGAAAAGATAAACAACCTGATAGACAAATGCATGAAAGACATGAACAGCTGTTTAATATGAGCAAAATAGGATGGCCAAAGGAAAGAGGCACAAACACACAAATAATCAGGGAAATTCAAATTAACATCATGAGGCATTACCATTTCATATCTAGCAGACTGGCAGGAAACATAAACTCTGACAATAAGTGTTGGCAAGAATGTAGGGCACTCTCCTCCACAGGGGGAAGCAAGTAAGTTGGTATGACGACCACTTTGGAAAACAGTTTTGCATTACCTAATAAAGTTGAAAATACACAAGCCTAGAACTGTTTCATATATTCCCAAGAGACATTCTTTGACAGGTGTACCAAGAGGTATGTACATTAATGTTTATGACAATTAAAAAGAATGTCTATCAAGAGTAGAATACTCTACAGCAGTGAAAATGAAAGAACAACACCACAATGGCTAAATCTCCACGTAGAGGTTCAAGCAAAAGAAGAAAATTATAGGAGAATACTCAGAGTATGATTACTTTGATATAAAAATTTAAAATGAGTAGATGTACTCATCCATGGCAAAACTATAAAGAAGAGTAACGGGAAGGTTATCATGAAGGTCAGGAGAGTGGTTACCTTCAGGGGGCGTGCAATGAGGAAGGGATACGAGGTGACTTCTAAGGGAGTAGCAATGTTCTACATCTTAGGCTAAATGGAGGACATATGGATGTTCTTATTATTCTTTAAACTGTACATACTATTTTTATGTACTCTATTCTATATATGATATATCTCAAAATAAAATTTTTAAAAGAAATAAAGGTTCTACATATGTATACACATGTATGAATGTGTGTGTGTGTGAGTGTGTGTTCCATGTATTCCGTGAAGGAAAACAAAAAGGAATCCTTAGTGGGAAAGTGACAGTAACCACTTGACTAGACTTACTAAATTCTCTCATATGTTTGGTTGGCTGAGAGAGGAACTTCAATCAACTGAGTTTACCACAAAGTCCATATAATACATATAATTTCAACTAAATGTATGCTTGAAAAGGATTGTCACATTCCTTATTTAATCTATCAGTTGAACTATGCATTCTTAGGCTGTCCTGCTTTCATTTGATAAAAAAAGAAACTAATTCTTAATTAAAAGATAAAAATCTAACCAGGTGCGGTATAATCCTAGCACTTTGAGAGGCCAAGGCAGGAGGATCACTGTCGCCCAGGAGTTCAAGATCAGCCTGGACAACACAGGGAGGCCCTGTCTCTACAAAAACTAAAAAATTAGCTGGGTGTGGGGGCGCACACCTATTGTCTCAGTTACTCTGGAGGCTGAGGTGAAAGGGTCACTTGGGACCACAAGGTCAAGGCTGCAGTGAGCTGTGATCGACTACTGCACTCCAGCACTCAAGCCTGGACAACAGAGCGAGACTCTTTCCCTAAATAAATAAATAAATAAATAAATAAATAAATAAATAAATACTTAACTGAGGCCGAGTGTGGTGGCTCATACCTGTAATCCCAGCACTTTGGGAGGTCAAAGTAGGATTGCTTGAGCCCAGGAGTTTGAGACCAGCCCTGGTAACATAGTGAGACCCTTGTCTCTACAAAAAATTAAAAAATAAAAAATCAGCCAGGTGTGGTGTCATGTGCTTATAGTCCCAGCTACTCAAGAGGCTGAGGTAGGAGGATTCCTTGATAAATTGAGGCACCAGTGAGCCATGGTTCTGCCACTGTACTTCAGCCTGGGCAACAGAGCGAGACCCTGTCTCAAAAACAACAACAACAACAACAACAAAAAACTAACTGAAACATTCTTTTCTTAACCTTCATTTTTTTAACCCTTTCTATGTTAGCTATGTCTTCCTTGAGTGAAATTGGAAGAGGAAATCCAAAATCCAAAGTCATTTTTATGTCTAACATCGAGAAAGCACTAAAAATGAAAAAAACAATCTGTTGCTTGTTTGGTTGTATTATTTACATTAATTGAATTAAAACTAGAACTAGAACCTCTTTTCAATGTATTAAACATAATACAGAGTTAAAGAACTAGAAGGAACCTTCAGAAGTTACCTAGTACAGTAATCTATCTTTAAGTAAGACTCAAATTATGTTAAGTAAAAGAGTTATCATTCCAATCTTAAAATACCTCCTGAAAAGATCTTATAGCATCCCTTCCTACTGAAAATTTTTTGTCTAACTCAGAACCCTTTTAATACAATGTTGTTATGCAGTTAACATTATTATCCAGACAACAGCCAGTTAAGGGTGTGGAGTTATCTAGAGCACAATGGGACCCTAGCAAGAATCTAACTCCAAGTATCTATTGGTTGGAAATGCGAGGATAAAGGGCTCAGAGAACTGACTGTTTGGCTCCCCTGGCTCCAACCCCACCAACCCCCGATTTTCCCCAGTGAGTTAGCTCCAAAGCTTGTCTTCCTCCACATAATCAGAAGTTGACTATTATTTGTTTTCATTCTGACTTGGGTTCATCCATAAAATTTATCTTCCCCAACTCCTACCATCCAATTATCCCAGTATCAAGAACTGATTTATACTTCCAATGAGTATGAATAAATACCTAGAATATTTTTCAATCCTAAAAATATGTCATTTATAAATGAAGGAAAGAAAACCTCAAATTTTCTAAATTTATGATATCTTTAATAAAATAAATATATTAGAAAATCTTTTCCTCCTAGTTATGGACAATTTCATCTAATAAAGTATATTTCCTTTTAGAAGATTAAACTTTTTTAGATTAAAAACTCTTTGATGTCAGAGACTGGTTTTGTTTCAGTTTTTATAGCTGGCACACTGTATTCTACCCAGGGTAGAAACTGAAAAATATCAGTTATGTTTAACTGATGCAATAGAAAATCACTAAAGCTTTGCCTTACATGGTCATTGCATTCTTCTTCCTCATCACAGTCTAGACCCTGATGGGCGAGCTCAGTAGTGCTGTTCTCCCGAAACAGATGGTTCTCCAAATCAGTCACTTTGGTAGCCTCTGTCATGACTTTTACTTTCATGCTATGAAAGCCAGTGGAGACAAATCCCACTTGCACATTGATAGGCTCCTTGTCAAACAGCAGGAAGTGTGAATTTACCTCTTCTTTAAAACCGAGGGGTTGGTAATCATGTGGGGTCACTGCGAAATGAAAAGGGCAAAAAGCCATGAAAACTGAGTTTCAATAGAACAAGTCAGATTAATCTTTCATGAGTAGCAACAGACTTCTCTTTCAGATGCTTGCAAAATCTTTCTACTTATATAAAATATTAGCTCAGCACTTAAGAAGGAATTTGTCTAAAGTTCTCTACCTACCTGCATTATAGTAGTGGAGTTTCATAGTAAGTACAACATTATTAGGAAGTGGCTCAAGGTCCTGCATCAGTATATACAATTTACGGATCAGTAGAACACTGGCTTTCTTAATATCTTCATTGTTTGTTCCACTTTCAAAGCTTGTACTGCTGCTGTGACTACACAGAAAACATACTTTTCGATCATATACAATATTGGCAATCTATCCCAAAACGAACAAAACTTTTGACTATGTGATTAAATAAATATAAATTAAACATTAAGACATTTTGAGACTTTTTTTAGAATGTAAATTAGGGCAGTGGTGGTACTTTTTACAATGTACATACAAAGACTTTCTTAAGTAGCAAATTCCCTAAAAGCATTTAAAATATCATCTTTTTAAAAATTTGATTTGCAAAAAATCATATACCACAATAGTAAGAACAACAAATTTGGAATTAGGTGACCTGACATCTAATATCAGCTCTGCTGATAACTAGCTGAATGACCTTGGTCAAGTCATTTAGACACACTCTAGGTCAGTTAGCTCATTTGTGAGATAAATGTAAAGACAAATAAAATCAATCACCAGCTCTGTGCCTTTCTACTCCGATTATCTCACAAAAGTATCCCTTCCTCACTCTTGCATTGATTACTACAGTGGCTATTTTTCCTGTTTTCCTTCTTGTCCATACTACAAAATATTCTCCGTATCACTGCTGAAATAATATTACTAATAGGAAAATCTGTTCATGTCACCTTCTTACTTAGAATTCTTCTATTATATCCATCACCTTTCAATCAAATTCAAAGACAGTGTGTATACAATTCCTTTCACAGTCCGTCACATCCTCACCTCCATCCTCATCTGCAGCTATTGCCCAGTTTCCTCTCACTCACAGTATTTGCATATGCTGTTCACTTTGCTTGTACTGTTCATTTTTCCACTTCTCTTCCTGACTGTCCTAAATTTATCCTCTAATACCTAGCTCACATGCAGACTCTTCAAGGAAGTCTTCTCTGATAATACCCTCATCTTATCCTCAGGATAACTGTCCTTCTCTAGACTGTGAGTGGCTATATCTTTCATCTCCACAGTACAGAGTTTGGTGCCCAGCTATTCAATCAACATTTGTTGAATTAATGAATGAATGAATAATTTGGACTAAATTACCTTCCAATTCTAAACTTTATTTATCTCCAAAGTTTCCTTCCACTATTAAGTCTCACATTTGAGTAGTTTCCAGAAAGGACCATGACTACAATATATTTACACAATGCTGTGCACACAGTTAGCTCTTAATATGAAAAATAACCCTAAGTAATTGAACTGTTGGATTTTCCCCTAATTGATCTTTTGAGACAATGTGAATTCATGAAGCAAACATTTACTAAGTGAATACATTAGCTCCTTTTCCAATTTTGAACAACTTAAAATTTTGCCAACCAGCATTTAACCAATTCGAATGTAGGTAACCAGAATGAAGGGCTATAGGCACGTAGCTCATGGGAACCTCCAGGACACATCAGTAAAATCATATTCAGGACTCCCATTTGAATAAATGCCTATATTTCTTCTCTAGGAAATTAATAATATGCATCATCTTCTCTCCTAATCAGCATGTGAAAGATTTGGCCATTTTTGTTTTACTGCTTACCTCTTGGCATATGTGCCTTCAGAACAAGAGTTTAATCTGGCCATCAGTGTATATTTTTGAGTTTTGGAGAGTAAAGGTGACTTTTTATGCGAGAAAATGTGTATGAAAAGTGCTGCTGTAAAAGCTGCAAAGTATTATACAAATGTTAGCTAACAAAAGGTAATATTTTAATTATCATTTTTGGAACTGATATTCTCTTCACATTCTAGTGCTGTCTGTAGATTTTACAAATGGAAGGATAATTAAGGGAGTGAGTCTTGGAGAAAAGTCCTCAAGTTCATGGTAAATGATGAGCCAGAGCTAATAGTAGGGAAAATTGAAAATTAGGTCATGTCTCTCATCAGTCATTCCTTTCAGGGGCATCCATCCCCCTTACTTGGATTCCTCTACTATCCAGAGTTTTTCACCATCATCTGTACCTTCCACTACTGTGCCATCTTATCAGCAATACTTAGCTCTCCATCCCTCCTGGAAGGTCTGAATCCAAAAGCTACTGGGAGAAAAATTAATGTTGTTCTTCAATGTCCTTGTGTTTGCTATTTAACCCATTAGGATACCTAAAACTTGGAATTTTCGACTTATTAGGAAACTGCAGTGCGTTCTAATCTTTTCATACAAGGACACATAAAAAATGATATTTATATGACACACTAGGGGAAGCAAATGAGAATATTTGTGCATACAAGCAAATAGTCCAGGGGTATTATCTACCCTAGGCATAGTCTGGCTATATGGAGTGTGGAAAGGATCACTATCTAGGCATAGCAGTTGAGAAACTTTGAATTAATGGCTAGACAGAGCCTTATGGAGTTATTCAATCAACATCGTGTAGGCAACCTTATTAATATAATTTCTACCATTGTGCTGCCTGCCATTTTCTCTATTCCCACCAGCTTAATCCATGGATTTCAGGAATGTAAACAATTGTTGCAGCTCCTTTTTATAATAGTGGTTTTCTATAGGGTTTGTGGGGAAATTTAAAAAGAAGTATAAGGCCTTTGTCTGGCCTCAAGAAGCTTACGTTTACCTCAATCCTACTTATTTCTCATGTTCATTAAGCAGTTAGATTCTACCTGTCAAAATCCATAGTGGCTCCTTCTTTCGTGTATTTGAATTTGAACTGGTACATCTCAGTCACTTTCTACAAAAACCAAAGGAAATAAAGAAAAAAAAGAATTTAGAAAAGAAATCCAGAATCTTACCTGATCATAAGCAAGGAACATTTTCACTCTGTACCTACTATACATCCTATATAGCTGTTTGTTTCACAGTATCACATTATTCAAGAGTAACATTTCCAAATATAAAGACAACCTAGTTTTTCTCTTCCATGCTAAAAATAAATTAGATGAAAGATACTATTATTACCATTTTAAAGCTGGAAAAACAAAATCACAGAGTCAAATATCTAACCCAACTAGGTAAATGACAGTGGAACCAGTTGAGAAACCATTCATTCACGTAACAAATGTTGTATTGAATGTCTACTTTGTGCCAGGCACTGGAGTCACAGTGGTGAACAAGACAGAAAAGGTCCCTGTTTTTCTGGAATATACATACAATCCAGTAGAGGAAATAGTCAGTAAAAATGTAAACAAATGAAATAAGCTAACTCCAATAGTGTAAGTGCTATGAACAAGAAGCAGATGCTGTGATAGAGGTTCATGAAGGGGACAAGTGCTGCTTTGGTTTGGAAGGGCCAAGGAAGCCCTTGCTGAAGAGGTGAGGTTTGAGTTGAGCCTCAAGGGTCAGTTATGTGCAGATCTTGGGGGTGGGGTGCCTCAGGCAGAGGGAATAGCAATGCGAAGGCTCTGAAGTGGGAAGGGACACCTCTTCTAGGGTCAGAGAAGAGGCCCAGTGGCTGGAAACCAGTGAGCGAGGGGGAGAACCCAGGAAATGAGGTTATAAAGGAGACTATGGGGCCTTGTTGGCTATGGTAAGGGGTTTGGATTTCATTCTAAGTAAGCCAGAAGTCTACAGAAGAGTTTTAAGCAGGTGAGTTATTTGCATTTTTTAAAACATCATCTTGGCTCCTTTAAAAGTGCAGAGGGGAAGAAATAAAAACCATGAGAGCAATTAAGAGGCTACTGTAGTAATTCAGGGAAGACTATAACGGCAACAGGAAAACTAGAAAAAATTAGAAAAGGAGCCCTGATCTCTGACTTCAAGTCTTGTTTTTTCAGTCCTGCACTAAAAACTAGATACTACTACTATCTGCTCTCCTCACTGTTAAGAAAACTAGAAATAAAGAGGGACAAATTTCCTCATAAGAGACAGATTCCATTTAAAATAAAATGAATGTCTGGCCGGGCATGGTGGCTCACGCCTATAATCCCAGCATTTTGGGAGACCGAGGCAGGCAGATCACTTGAGGTCAAGACCAGCCTGGCCAATGTGAGGAAACCCTGTCTCTACTAAAAATACAAAAATTAGCCGAGTGTGGTGGTGCAAACCTGTAATCCCAGCTACTCGGGAGGCTGAGGCAGGAGAATCGCTTGAACCCAGGAAACGGAGGTTGCAAAGAGCCGAGATTGTTCCTCTGCACTCCAGCCTGGGTGACAGAGCAAGACTCCATCTCAAAAAATGAATAGAATAGAATAGAATAGAATAGAATAGAATAGAATAGAACAGAAAGAATAAAATAAACTGAAATATAAAAATAAATAAATAAAATTTAAAAATAAATAAATTAAAATAAAATAAACATCTAGTAGTTGAAGCAAATGTTTGATCCAGACATGTCATACAGTATGTCCACAGAGCTGGAGAAGTACTAATGACAAGTAAAGGGTATAAGCTTAAAACAAAACACAAAAAATGTCCTTTATTCATCTGGTTCAGTATTTGATCCTTGACAATGTGAGAATGAGGATGTCAGACTGATCAGAAAAAGTTTCAGTGTTTCTGTTACTTTAAGCCTCCCAGCTTTGCTCATCTTAAACCTTAACATGAAACTTAATTACAGGTTATCAGGTCTTGGGAAAATTGGCTCATGATGCTTAAACTCTAAGGAGATTGATTTGTAATGGAGTTAATTTTAAAAGATAAAAGTATTTTCCTAATAAGACAGTCTACTTGAGAAATCAAATCAAGTTCAGAAAACTGCTTTGTAAATACAATAGGAGAGACAGATGAGATTAGAGGAGCCTATAGCAACAGGTTCACTCCAGATAGGCAAGATGAACAGAGTCCTCTCTTAGCCAACGCTGGATGTCATTGCTCTGCCAAGCAAACAATGCCCATTCTTCCTGCCTGCCCATGTTTCTCAATCAACTCTAGCTTTTTAATGCTCTGAGTGATCTTTTGTTTTTTTAAATTGTAACAAGAGTAGGTTGTTTTAGTAGTTGATAATTGTATTTACACTTTATTATTTGATCCCTGAAGCAACTAGTAAAAGTTATATTTATAATTGTTTTACAGAAGATGCCAATCCTTAATTAACTTCAGTCTGACTCTGGCTTATCTAGGAAGGTATATTTACAGCAGGCACTATTCTTAACACCTCATATAACACTTTTCAGACTAATGTGTTGCCTAATAAAGATGAACCACTGAACTGCTCATCAGTGGTTTCTATGAATCATACTAAATACAGTCACATAAGCCAAAGCAGCAGCATTGTATGCAGCCTTTCCTTCTGCCTCCACCTTGCAATCCATTGGCAAGACTTTTCAGGTCTATCTCTAAAGCAAATCGCAAGTCCATCTGATACTCATTCTCTGTTCCGTAGCCAAAAGGAGTTTTTGAAAATACAAATCAGACCATGTCACTCCTTTGCTTAAAATCCCGTCAGCTTCTCACCACCCTTAAAATAAAATCCAAAAGTTATGTTGATTTGCAAGGCCCTACTCATCTGTCCCTTGTGTCCCTCTCTGACCTTACCTCTGGTCACTTTCCCTTGCACTCAGCTAAGCTCCAGGCTCATGGTACATTTTCTATGCTCAAACTCCCAAGATTCCTTCCTGCCTTAGGGCTTTTGCACAGCTATACTCTGGAACATGCGATCTCCAGTTAATGATAATAATAATATTCAGGCACTGCCCTAAACATTTTACATCAGTTCATTCTTGTGTAGCCAACACTCTGAAGTAGATATTATTCTCATTATTGATGAAGCTAGTAAGTGGTAGAACCGCGATTTGACTCCAGTGCCTGTGATGTTAACTATGGTGTTATTTGACCTGTCACATGCCATTGCCCCTCACAGGGTTGCATGGGCTGACTCCTTCTGGTTATTCATATCAGCTCAAACAGTAGCCTCTCAGGGATGCCTCCTAGGAACTGCCCAATCTAACACAGCCATCCAATCCCTCCTTCTTCATTCTCTACTTCAGCACTCTCTAGTACATTACCTTTTTAAAAGATTTTCTTCATAGCACTATGTCTATCTGAAATTGTTTGTACTAATTTTTATTTATGTATTTATTGTTTATCCTACCTCATAAGAATGTAGGCTTCTAGAGAGCAGGGATCTTGCCTATCCCATTCACTCCTGTGTTTTTATACCTTGAACAGTTCTAGGCACATAAAAGGAACCCAATTAATATTTACTGAATGAATAAATATTTGGCCAGAGTAGAGTTCATGCTTACTTAGGGTTTCATCCTACAAAGAAATTTTCCAAAATAAAGTATATTGTGGCTAGAAACAGGGGCCACTTACAGTTAAGCTCATGAAGCAGTCTATTAAAAGTGAGTGTTGGCCAAGTGCAGTGGCTCACACCTGTAATCCCAGCTGAGGAAAGGGGATCCTTTGAGACCAGCTGGGGAAACATAACCCCATATTTCCAAAAATTTTTAAAAATAACTGGGCATCGTGGTGAACAACTGCAGTCCCAGCTACTTGGGAAGCTGAGGTAGGAGCATTGCTTGGGCCTAGAAGGTCAAGGTTGCCATGAGCCAAGATCACACCACTGCACTCCAGCCTGGGTGACGAAGGGAGAGCCTGTCTCTTAAAAAAATGAAAAATAAAGAGTGTTGATCACCTCCAATGGTAAAGAGGCACAAAGGAATAGATAGTGAAACCATAAGATTTATGCCTTCACAATATTCATATATAATAATTCCATATGGTCTTACATGCATTAAGTTGCATAAATCTTTCTTATTTACATTTTGTCTTACATGCTTTACTCATGCTTGCTACTCATTTTGTAGTGTGTGCCTATAGAAAAGCTACGTTATCACTCTTCTCTATTTTAGTACTTAGTTTACTTAGATGCTTAGTTACTTTTGTTGGTCATCTTCCTCATGAGATAGAGCAACCAGAACAAAACTTCAAGCACAGAAGTACCGTAACTTTGTGGAATGCTGAAAACTCAGTTGGTCTTCTGAACTAGGGACACACACTTGTTTGATTTAAGCCAGAGGTTCTCAATTGTTGTACCATGACATACTCTTCACAAGAGTGCTGCAAATTTTAATCCACCTGTCCAGTGTATTTTTGCTTCAGGCATATATAAACATTGTTATTGTTTGTGCAATTTTGTTTAGGAAAGGATATACTTCCAGGCATACAACTGAAGAAACATGGCACAATATGAGATAAATGCCAAAGAAGATGTTTATGTTAGAATGTTGTTTTGTGAGTACATAAGAGAATGAGATCAGGGAGGTAAGTAGTTTTATCAGTGACTTGATGCTAAATAGCAATCATAAAATAATGTAACTTGTGGATGCTCTTTATGCCCTATGAACATTGCTATATCACAGTAGTAGTTACATTGTAATTATTACTGATTTGTTTGGGCTCTTTTGAGTGTTTTAGTATCATCCAATATGCTACTGAATTTTTTAGTAATAAAAAGTATACCATGAACACACAGGTTAGGAATCACTACCTACCCATAAGGGGAACACTTTGTAAATATTCAAAATATTTTTTTTCCTGGGTTGTAAATGATAGCTCAAAACTTACCACATAACAAGCTTTTGTTTCCTAACTTCATTATTATATATGCCCGCATTTCTTCCCACTCTGTAATACTTTTTTTGTAATTAAACTCCATTTGCTTAGCATTTCACTAACCCCCCAAAAAACCACTGGTTTCAAACTAGGGAGTTTTCATGCATAAGAAAACATGATACATACTACACTAAGAAAATGACCAATTTAGTAACTATCAGAAGGTTTTATTTTGGGAAACTTCCCTTCAAACTTACAGTGTGGTGGGGAAGCATTTTGAAATGAAACAAGAGACAAAGAAATAAAAGATAGAACTAGTTTGGGCATTGAGGAATTTCTACCTACTGTATGTAACAGTTTTCTTACCCCTTGTTTAAACAGCTACATGTCATCTTGCAAAGAGAGAGTATTAAGAGCTAAAAATGCATAATTTAGTCTAGAATAGCACCAGTTAGGCCAAATGTGTAGGCTTAGAGAACAAAAATTGAAAGTAAAGAAAAAGGAAAGAAAGCTAGGAGAAAGACAAAGGGAATAAAATGAGAAGAGATCACAAGTTTTCTCCCTCCATTTCTGTGCCACAGCCACATTCTAAGTGGCACAAGTAACTATTATGTGTCCAAGACTATGAGACAAGACGCTTGTCCTCAAGAATTCACAATCTGGGCCAGGCATGATGGCTCATGCCTGTAATCCCAGCACTTTGGGAGGCTGAGGAAGGCAGATCACTTGAGGTCAGGAGTTCGAGACCAGCCTGGCCAACATGGTGAAACCCCATCTCTACTAAAAATATAAAAATTAAAATTATAAAAAATACAAAAATTAGCCAGGCATAGTGGTGCATACCAGTAGTCCCAGCTACTCAGAAGGCTGAGGCAGGAGAATTGCTAGAACCTGGGAGGCAGAGGTCACAGTGAACCGAGATTGCACCACTGCTCTCCAGCCTGTGTGACAGAGCAAGACTCTAAAAAAAAAAAGAAGAAGAAGAAGAATTCACAATCTGGTTGAGGAGATTAAGTAATCAATATGAATCAATTGAGAGTGTTAAATTGTGGGGTTCTGCTGGAAAAAGAATTTAAAGAAGTTAGTATAGACCAAATAGCCAAAGAGGCTTACATATAAGATTTGAACATAGTTGGTCTTGAAGATGAGTCGGATACCCTAAACAGAGGGAAGAAATCTAAAGAGAGAAGTAAAGAGGTAAAGCTCTGAAAATCTATAAAAACATGAAAAGGGGGAGAATTTAATTGGCATAAAAGAAAATTAGAGTTACGCCATATCTCATTTATATTCCCAAAAGGCCATAAACAGAAAGGATTCATAATCAGTTTAAATAAATGATAAAATGTGGTTTTACATGACTCAGAAAAAAAAAAGTCCATAAAAATTAAATTTTAAAAATTTTTAAGAAAAAAATGTGGTTTTATACATTTATACATTAAGAGACTCTTAATGCCAACAGGTTAGGGATTAGGCTCAGTTCTTCTCAATACCTTTTTTCCCCAATACCCTTAGATAGTTTTTGAAAAATCTCATAATAAGAGATTGGTCAAGTTTAGAGTAAAATATACTGAAAGAGCCCACTGTGAGTTCCTCTGCTCATATGATAGTCTAGCAACATAATATATAACCTCAACTCAGAAAAACATCTTAAAATATTATATACATATAGTCTAGCAACATAATATATAACCTCAACTCAGAAAAACATCTTAAAATATTATATACATATACTACCCACCTATACGTTTGTGTGTGTTCTTACCTCAGATCCCATGGGATTTGTGTAAAGCTGTATAAGGGAAAATAAACAGCATTCAATTTCTGGAATTTACTAGATTACTCTTCATGAAATACATTTTTTATATAGAGTCCAATTGTGCTCTATTAGTTGAGTACAGACATATATTTTAAGCTAGAGATAGGATATGCTTATTTTGTGAATGTAGAGTCTTTAGAATATTCTGTGAACACTGAATAAAAGGAAATTAATAATGAAGCATTCATAATTACCATGACTGAGCTACAAATAAATTCTAAATAATCCATTGTGGTTTAAAATTTGTTCAATAAATCATAGACCTAAGACTCTCAATGGTATCTTCTCATTTTCTAATCTTAACTATGTATACCATGTTAAACTCAGAGGTATACAAAATTTCAAGAGTCTACCAAAGTTCAAAAACAAAAAATTTGGAGTCTGTAAAGTGACTAAAAAACTAAAATCCTGAGAGCCAATAAATGAAGCAGATAGTACAGCCTATATATTTTCCCAGGTGTTATACCAAAGAAATATAAAATTCATAATCTTTTATTAAAACTTCTGATAGATCCTGTTTTTAATTCCAAGACAGATAAAAAGAAAAAGTCAGGGGGGAAGGGGGAGAGTACTGTTTTAATGTTTCACTTGCCAAAAGACAACGAAATAGAGACAGAGGCTTGGTCTTTAAATGAGTGTGTACTTACTGTCAGTACTGCCATACGTAGCTTCAAGAGAAAGAAAAATATTATTATTATATACTTGCACCTATATTATCATTCTTTTCAATAGACTAATTAAAATATTATTTCAGAGAGGTTTGAAGATTTGGGTAGGAAAAAAATATCCAGAAGGCCAGAACAAAAAGGATACAGTCATCACTCAGTATTTGAGAAGGAATTAGTTCCAGGGCTCCCTATGAATACCAAAATCCATGTGTACTCAAGTACTTCAGGGAGTATATGAAAAGTCAGCCCTCCGTATCTGGGTTTCACATCTGCAGATACTGTATTTATTTATTTATTTATTTATTTTATTTTTTTGAGACAGAGTCTCACTCTGTCGCCCAGGTTAGAGTGTTGTGGCATGATCTCAGCTCACTGCAACATCTGCCTCCCAGGTTCAAGGGATTCCCCTCCTGAATAGCTGGGATTATAGGTGCCCACTACAATGCCTGGCTAATTTTTGTATTTTCTTTTTTTTTTTTTTTTTTTTTTTTTTGAGACAGAGTCTTGCTCTGTCACCCAGGCTGGAGTACAGTGGTGTGATCTCGGCTCACTGCAAGCTCCACCTCCCGGGTTCACACCATTCTCCTGCCTTAGCCTCCCAAGTAACTGGGACTACAGGCGCCCACCACCACATCTGGCTAATTTTTTGTATTTTTAGTAGAGACAGGGTTTCACCGTGTCAGCCAGGATGCTCTTGATCTCCTGACCTCGTGATCTGCCCGCCTCGGCCTCCCAAAGTGCTGGGATTACAGGCATGAGCCACCACAGCAGGCCTAAGTTTTGTATTTTCAGTAGAGATGAGGTTTTGCCATGTTGGCCAGGCTGTTCATGAACTCCTGACCTCAAGTGATCCTCCCACCTTGGTCTCCCAAAGTGCTGGAATTACAGGTATGAGCCACTGCGCCCAGCCTGTGTTTTCTTTTTCTTTCTTTCTTTCTTTTTTTTTTTTTTTTTTTTGAGTCACCAGGCTGGGTACAGTAGCATGATCTTGGCTTATTGCAACCTCCACCTCCTGGGCTCAAGCGATTCTCCTGCCTTAGCCTCCTGAGTAGCTGGGATTACATACATGCGCCACCACGCCCAGCTAATTTTTGTGTTTTTAGCAGACACGGGGTTTCACCAGGTTGGCCAGGATGGTCTCGATCTCCTGACCTTGTGATCCACCTGCCTCAGCCTCCCAAAGTGCTGAGATTACAGGCGTGAACCACTGCCCTGGCCCCGGCCTGTATTTTCAATCCACCTTTGGTTGCAGATGTGGAAGTCACAGATACAGAGGGCCAACTGTATTTTTTGAAAATAATCCATGTATAAGTGAACCCATGAAGCTCAAACCCATGTGGTTCAAAGGTCAACTGTATTTTTTTCCAGGAGGGTCAAAATTAACTTTATGCTAAAATTATATGAAGCCAGGTGCGGTGGCTCACGCCTATAATCCTAGCACTTTGGGAGGCCAAGGTGGGTAGACTGCCTGAGCTCGGGAGTTTGGGACCAGCCTGGGAAACATGGTGAAACCCTGTCTCTACTGAAATACAAAAAATTAGCCAGGCGTGGCTGCTTGTGCCTGTGATCCCAGCTACTTGGGAGGCTGAAACAGGAGAATAGCTTGAACCTGGGAGGCAGAGGTTGCAGTGAGCTGAGATCGCGCCATTGCACTCCAGCCTGGGCAATAGAGAGAGATTCCATCTTAAAAAAAAAAAAAAAAAGTATATGTTCACAATTTGATAGCAGTTTTTTTGCATTATAAAGAGGAATTTCCCAGATATCTGAAAACTGATTCTTTCCTATAATTTTTTTCTTTTTTTCTCTCCATTTCTGAAAGACTAGCATTTTTAAATTGATATATAATAGTTCTACATATTTTGGGGGTACATGTGATATTTTGATACCTGTATATAAAGTGTAATGAGTTCAATTGTATTTTAAATCATTTCTAGATGACTTATAATACCTAATACCATGTAAATGCTATATAAATACTTATCACACTGTATGTTTATTTGTATTATTTTTTATTGTTGTACTGTTATTTTTTCTAAATATTTTCCAGTTGGTTGAATCTGTGGATGTAGAATGCTCTGATACACGGAGGGCCAACTGTACTAACTATTCACTCATTCAAGTGAGAGTCCATCACATACACAGGGTTCTGCTAGAGAGGAGAGGGACACAAAAAAGATAACTATCTCTCCTCTCAAAAAGTTATATTCTAGTTCTGGAGGCAAAAGGTATACAAAATAATTCAGTATTACTAAATAATTAAATATGCAACAAGTACCTCAAAAAGTGTCCCATTTGAAACTAATCTACTAAGTAAAAATGTCTTATATGTCTATAAAGTCCTTGTCCTCTCTACATATACACTACTATGAACAGATTATCTCTTCTTGAAAGAGTAATATATAGAGATAGAAATATAATCAAGCCAATGATAATTGTTTTTAAAAACTAGAATACATTTCAGAAAATTTCAGGCCAGGCACAGTGGTTCTTGCCTGTAATCCCAGCACTTTGGGAGCTCAAGGTGGGCGAATCACTTGAACCCAGGAGTTCAAAGCCAGCCTGGGAAACATGGTAAGATGCCATCTTTACAAAAAGTAAGATAATTAGCTAGGCATGGTGGTGCACACTTGTGGTCCTAGCTACTTGGAAGGCTGAGACAGGAGGATTGTTTGAGGCCTGGAAGTTGAGGCTGCAGTGAGCCGTGATTGTGCCAGCGTACTCCAGCCTAGGCAACAGAGTGAAACTCTATAAGAAAGAAAGAGAGGGCCAGGCACAGTAGCTCACACCTGTAAACCCAGCACTTTGGGAGGCTGAGGAAGGCGGGTCACGAGGTCAGGAGTTCGAGACCAGCATGGCCGACATGGTGAAACCCCATCTCTACTAAAAACATAAAAAATTAGCCAGGCGTAGTGGCAGGCGCCTGTAATCCCAGCTACTCAGGAGGCTGAGGCAGAAGAATAGCTTGAACCCGGAAGTCGGAGGTTGCAGTGAGCCAAGACCATGCTGCTGCACTCCAGCCTGTGCAGCAGAGAGAGACTCCAAAGAAAAAGAAGAAAGGAAAGAAGGAAGGAAGGAGAAAAGAAAAGAAAAAGAAAGAAAAGAGAGAGGAAGAAAAGGAAGGAAGGAAGGAAAGAAGGAGGGAAGGAGGGAAAGAGAGAAAGAAAGAGAGAAAGAAAAGAAAAAAAAAAATTCAGAATCACAATTTCATATCAAAGGACTAAAACTTTACTGCCACTTTGTGGCCATTTTGATTACTGCATATAAACTCATACATTAATTAACGAGTTCATTTATTTATGCATTCATTCAAAAATAGACATGGCTGCTATCAGGGAACATTCAGACTACCAGGGAAGAACAACAGTAAACAACAAAAACATAGCAAAGATAGCTATATCATTATTATCGTGTTCATTGCTATGAAGCAGCAGCATGGGGTGCTATGAGAACATAAAATAAAGGAACCACCTAGGCTGGGGAGGAGGGTGTCAGGGAAGGCCTCCCTAGGGAAGTAAATATTTAAGCTGAGACTTGAAAGATAAATTTGAGTTAGCCAGGCAAAGTGTATGGGGCAGGGGAGAGAAGTTTCTAGGCAAGAGGAACAATATATGCAAAGGTAAAAGGAGCTTGGCATGTTCTAGATTGCTTGTGTGGCTTGAACATGGGAACAACAGCGATACCTTGGAAGGCAGATAGGGATCATATAGGCCTTGCAGACCATGTGAAGGACCCTGAACTTTATTTTAAAAGCTGTGGAAAATGTTTAGACAAAAGAACAACATGATCAGACTTGGGTTTCTGAAAGTATGCAGTGTGGACAGTGGATCAGAATGGTGAGGAACTGAGAATGCGAATAAGGAAACAAGCTAGGTAACTATATACAAGATAGTCTCTTTTTTAACAATAATTATATACAACACTGATATGTGTTTATTTTAAAGAATTCAAGCATAATATAACATACAAAATAAGTATAAAAATCACCCAAAATTGAAACCCCATCTATACTTAAAAATACAAAAATTAGCCAGGCGTGGTGGCACACACCTATAGTCCTAGCTACTCGGGAGGCTGAGGCAGAAGAATCACTTGAACTCAGGAGGCGGAGGTTGCAGTGAGCCAAGATTGCGCCACTGCACTCCAGCCTGGGCAACAGAGGGAGACTCCATCTCAAAAAAAAAAAAAAAAAAAATCACCCAAAATTTCACAACTAGAAATAATCATGCTCTTACAGGGGAACATCTTTCAAGATCTCTAGATACTCAAATTTGATTTTACTCAAACTATTTTCATTTATTTATATACTTATTTATTTGAGATGAAGTTTCACTCTGTCACCAGGCTGGAGTGCAGTGGCATAGTCTCAGCTCATTGCAACCTCTGCCTCCTAGGTTCAAGCAATTCTCCTGCCTCAGCCTCTTGAGTAGCTGGGATTATAGGCACAAGCCACCATACCCAGCTAATTTTTTGTATTCATAGCAGAAATACAAGGTGTCACCATGTTGTCCAGGCTGGTCTCAAACTCCTGGGTTCAAGAGATTCACCCACCTCAGCCTCCCAAAGTGCTGGGATTACAGGTATGAGTCACTGTGCCCGGCCTCAAACTACTTTTAAAACATATCGTACCAGCTACAAGATCACCTGAGGAAAGTTATAAAAGATTAACAACTGAAAAACAATATAAATACTATTTACTTAAGAGACTAAGTCATCTATCTAAAATTTTGTCTTTTGATCTCCCCAAAACAAGTTATTTTGACTGAGTCAGTCATACAGGTAGTCATTTAGTAAAATAAATGTATCAAACTAGCTAGATACCCTTTGTACATTACACTGCTATTTTAGTACATGTAATACTTATAATATTTTATTTAAGAAGTGACTCTTACTATTATATTATGACTTCCCTGAGAGTGGAATCACATTTTACTCTCATTATTATCTCATCCAATGCCTAGGCACAATGTCTGGCACAGATTAAATAGCCGATGTATAAAGAATGAATGTTTAACACATATATAGTGTTTGTTATGTGCCAGGCATTGTTCTAAACATTTTAGATCAGCGGTTTTCAAATTATGGTCCCTAGACCAGCAGTCAAGAGCATCACTTGTAATTTGTCTGAAATGCAAATTCTTACATCAGAATATTGAGGTGAGGCTTGACAACCTGTGTTTTAACAAGTCCTCCAGGTGATTCTGATGCAAGCTAAAGTTTGAGAACCACTGCTTTAGATTATTAACTCATTATCAAATAACCTTAACAAGTGGATTCTATTATTATCCCCATCTTATATGCAAAGAAACTAAGGTACCAAAAGGTAGGTTACTTGCCAAAGGCCACACGGGTATTAAGTGACAGAACTGGGATTCTTCAGACCATCTGACTCCAAAACTTGAACTTCTAACTATATTGTACTGCCCATCAGTGAGGAACAGTCAGGAAATGTCACTAAATGAATGGATGAAGGGGGAATGAATGAGCACTGTTCAGTGTAACAGTGATGGCCTTCTCCCCCTTTCAATCTGTCCAAATATTTAGGGCCTTCAAAGCTCAAAAGCTATTTTCTCTCAAAAGATTTCTCTCATGTTCCTCACAGGGTATAGCGCCTCCTTTCCCATACTTCCCATTGCATATGATCATTATCTTTCTTTAGGCATTCATCACTTTCTAATGAGCATTATAGGGATGATCAAAATATCTCTGATATTTTTACATTAAAATATCAAATTGACATAAAAAATCAATATATAGGCTGGGTGCAGTGGCTCATGCCTGTAATCCCAGCACGTTGGGAGGCTGAGTTGGGCAGATCACTTGAGGTCAGGAGTTCGAGAGCAGCCTGGCCAACATGGTGAAACACCGTCTCTACTAAAAATAAAAAAATTAGCCAAGTGTGGTGGTGTATGTCTGTAATCTCAGTTACTTAGGAGGCTGAGGCAGGAGCATTGCTTGAACCTGGGAGGTGGAGGTTGGAGTGAGCCAAGATCGCGCCACTGCACTCCAGCCTGGGCGACAGAGACTCTGTCACACACTCACAAAACTAAATAAATATGTAAAGCCCAATATGACATAGATGCTGGCCAGTCAGAAAGGATGCCAATTTAGCTCTAGAGCTGGGCTCCTAGAAGCAAACCTTGGACTAGATATTAACCTTTTGGTTACTGGATTTTGGAGTGTTCTGGAGAGATCCCAAAAGAGACACTGGTAAAGTGACGTGGAGGATATTGATAGGGAGCCACATAAGGTCTCAGAAAAGCAGCAATTTACCATTAAATACAGAAATATTTCAATATTTTAAGAGCAGATACAGCTGAGTCAGTATATAACAGCTGATCATCAGCCCTGCATATGAATATCACTTATCTTCTGCCAAGGTCTATAAGCTCTTTCCCACTTCTGTTTTATCTTTGTATCCCTAGGTCCCTCTGGTCAGTGTTGAATAAATCATAAGTAACAAATGTGCAGTGGAAATAGAAATATATGAATGTGCTAAATAATCTAGTGTAATGCTTCCTGACCTCAAGATTTCTTAAAGGAACAAGAATTGAGGAGTAAAAAGAAGACATAGATGGAGAAAATGGGGAAAAGCAGTGGTGGAAATTTCAAATATTTATAGGCCTTGGCTGCCACTGGAGAGCAGCAGCCATGGCTCTGCTCTACCTTACAGCCATGGGACTCAACAAGGGCCACAAGGTGGCCAAGAATGTGAGCAAGCCCAGGCCCAGCTGCCACCACAGGTGCCTGACAGGTGCCTGACCAAACACACCAAGTTCATGCGGGATATGATCCCAGAGGTGTGTGGCTTCACCCTGTTGGGCAGCATCCCATGAAGTAGCTCAAGGTCTCCAAGGACAAATGGGCCTTCAAGTTCATCAAGAAAAAGGTGGGAACACACATCCGCACCAAGGGGAAGTAGGAGGAGCTGAGCAATGTCCTGGCCGCCATGAGGAAAGCCGCTGCCAAGGACTGAGCCCCCTGCCTTGCCCTGCCCTCTGCTCATAATAAAAGCTCCACAGGAAAAAAAAAACAGAAAGAAAAAAGAAATTTCATTTATATACATCTTGTCTCTTCAACTAGGACTAGAGCCTCCATTCTGTACGCCCTTCATAGCTGTCTTGGGCAGCATGAAAGATCAGATGCACTTAAAATTTAAGCTATATATATTTTTTAATCTGAGGTACAATACTAGTACAATACTACCTATTGTAAAGGAATAGATTATACTTATGAACTAAATATAATTACCAAAATAACTAAGACAGAATAAAAACCAATTATTCAAGTCCGTTTTTTTCCTTTCATATCTGCAAATTGAATCACCACTATTCTAAATACGTTCAATGCACTAAATGCCAGATTCTTGTCTCTCCTGTCCCACATCCTGTGGATCTCTTCCAGTGACTTCAGAGGAAACTCTGTGGTCAAAAAGATATGAGTATGTAAAAGAGAAAAATGAGTTTTCTTTTTAATTGATGCAAAGGAGACATCAACAGGACAATAAAGACATAAGATAACAAGAAATTAGTTTATGAATGCAAACGTAGACACTTATACTGTTAAACACAACGAAATAAGTCTAATTTCTTTTTATAAAGAATAAAAGACAAGCCTTTGATTCCGGTGTAAGTTTTAAAAAAATTCTTACGTATCTCTTTTCCAAAGCATCAAAACAACCTTGAATCCTGTCAAGAAATAAATGTTTGATGTCAATTGGACCACATGCAAAGCCAAAATAATTCCAACTACAGAATTCATTTGCACTTTTTGCTTTGATGTACATTAAGTTGATAACCATCTTACCTTTCCCATTTAATCATTTTTTTTAAACTTCCAGCAACTTTTAATATGTTGATAGAACTTTATAAGTAGTAATGAGCAATTTTGTGGTAGTGAACCAAATTTTTTTGGATCCTATGTTTAGTACACTGACACGCATATGATGAATTATCAGTTTTTTAAATTTCTGTGGGTACATAGTAGGTGTATATATTTAGTATTTTATCACAGTTTTTATTTTTATACAAGTCAATTTTCTTTCAAAAACAAAGCTAAATCAGTGTCTTAAAATTATTAATAATATTGATAATTAAAAATATTGAATAATTCTTGCAAATTCCTAGAAAATTATTTTTTAAAAAGAAAGAGGGAAAGCAGGCCAGGACAATGGCTCACACCTGTAGTCCCAGCACTTTGGGAGGCCAAGGTGGGCGGATCATGAGGTCAAGAGATCGAGACCATCCTGGCCAACATGGTGAAACCCCATCTCTACTAAAAATACAAAAATTAGCTGGGCATGATGGCGTGCACCTGTAGTCCCAGTTACGTGAGAGGCTGAGGCAGGAGAATCGCTTGAACCTGGGAGGCAAAGGTTGCAGTGAGCCGAAATCGCGCCACTGCACTCCAGCCTGGGCGACAGAGGGAGACTTCGTCTCAAAAAAAAAAAAGAAAAAGAAAAGAAAAGAAAAAAGAAAGAGGGAAAGTAGGAAAGAAGAAATGGTTTTTTTAAAAAATGGTCTTGGCCAGGCACGGTGGCTCACGCCTGTAATCCCAGAACTTTGGGAGGCCGAGACGGGCGGATCACGAGGTCAGGAGAACGAGACCATCCTGGCTAACATGGTGAAACGCCGTCTCTACTAAAAATACAAAAAAAAAAAAAAAAAAAAAAAAAACTAGCTGGGCGTAGTGGCGGGCGCATGTAGTCCCAGCTACTCAGGAGGCTAAGGCAGGAGAATGGCGTGAACCCGGGAGGCAGAGCTTGCAGTGAGCCGAGATCACACCACTGCACTCCAGGCTGGGCAACTGAGCAAGACTCCATCTCAAAAAAAAAAAAAAAAAAAGAAAAAGAAAAAAAAATCTTACTAAATAAAGCATTATGGGTAATTTCAGCCATGATAAAAATAATGTTGTTCAACTTTTATAGAATTTCTATTACTTACCATCTGATAATATGCAGTGACCCAGGACATTTTTTATCTTCTCGGAGGATTTTTAAACTGAGGTCTACAAAAACAGAAACATAGTCTATTTTTATCTACTAAATGACTGCTGTACTGAAATTGTCCATGCTAAATAGGCTATTTCCTTTAACTATTTTATTTATGTAATTTATTTAGTTTTATAGCTTATAAAAACATTTTGGATCTTAAACATCTACTTTAAAAACAAATCCTCTGTTAAGAAGTAGCTTAGTCTCAATTTTGATTATAGTTAGGAGTTTCCCCCTTCTACAATGTAGCACAACTGAGTTGGCTCCAAAATCAATTTGTGTCCCTTCTTTGCCTCTGTAGAATTCTAAGTAATTATGAGGTAGTGTTGAGACTATCTCCATTGACCAACTTAAAATATACACCTCAATCTCAGTCATTTCCCTGTTATTTCTCTCCCTCTCAATGAAAAGAATGAAAAATTTCACATGGATTATTCTCGAATACTTACTTTATCTGAAACCTAACTACCTTTTTACACTTAGAAAGAATAGGAATATCATATTAAGAGTCTGGGTTTAGGCCGGGCGCAGTGGCTCACACCTGTAATCCCAGCACTTTGAGGGGCTGAGGCAGAGAATTACTTGAGCCCAGGATGTCGAAACCAGCCAGGGCAACCTAGTGAACCCTCACCTCTAAAAAAAAAATTAAAAAATTATCTGGGCATAGTGGCACATGCCTATAGTCCCAACTACTCAGGAAGCTGAGGCAGGAGGATCACTTGAGCCTGGAAGGTCGAAGCTGTAATCCTATAATGATCATGTCGCCACACTCCAGCCCGGAGAATGAAATGAGACTCCGTCTCTAAATAAATAAATAAATAAATAAATAAATAAATAAATAAATAGAATTTTGGTTTAAAGTAGTCCAAGATCAATCACTGATTTATGTGTGATTTTGCATAAGTAACTTCACCTTTTCATATTGTTTTCCTGTCCTAAAATTGATGTTACCTGTATCTCTATTGAGGGATATGAAAATTATCCTGTGTTGATATAACATTCAGAAATTACAAGAGAGTGACACAGGAGTACTAAGCATTTTTATGATGTATATTACTTTAAGAACAAACACTGAAAGGGAGACATATCACTTCTACAATAACTGTCACAAAAAATAAAGGCATAGGGAATGGTATCATTGCCATTGCCTAGGGTAGTGACTGGCACACAGTATGTGCTTATTACCAAAAATATGTCTTTCTCAATTCTATTTTCTAGACACGAGGGGAAACTGCAAATATATGTTAGATATAAACACATTCACTGTTACAAGTTTGTATCTCATAGACCAAAAGATGTCATAATACAAATGAGGTTGTTGTGATTGCAAATACCATGTTTATGTGCTTATAGCACACATGCATTTTATTGATGCTCTTACATTGCTTAATATTTTTTTTTTTGAGACAGAGTCTCACTGTATCACCCAGGCTGGAATTCAGTGGTGCAATCACAGCTCACTGTAGCCTTAAGCCCCCACGCTCAGATGATCCTCCCACCTCAGCCTCCAGAGTAGCTGGAACTATAGGCACCCACCACCATGGCCAGCTAATTTTTTGTATTTTTTATAGAGACAGGGTTTCACCGTGTTGTTCAGGCTGGTCTTGGACTCCTAGGCTCAAGCAATCTGCCCACCTTGCCTTTCAAAGTGTTATGATTACACTTTGGATTACAAGCATGAGCCACCGTGCCCAACCAAGAGAATTAGACTAAAATGAGGCCAAGGTATATCATTAAATACAGATGTAAGAAATTTTAAATTAGATTTTGAAAAATAACATCTTACAAGGCAACTTGTAGCTCTCTATATTTATTTTCAAAATGATAGTTCCTATTTTAGTGACAAGTCAACAAGATTCACAATACAGCTTTTTAAAAAAAATTTTAAATACTTTAAGTTCTGGAATATATGCGCAGAACGTGAAGTTTTGTTCATGAGCCATGGTGGTTTGCTGCACCCGTCAACCTGTCAACTAGGTTTTAAGCCCTGCATGCATTAGGTATTTGTTCTAATGCTATTCTTTCCTTTGCCCCCTATCCCCCGACAGGCTCCAGTGTGTGATGTTCCCCTCCCTGTTTCCATGGGTTCTCATTATTCAACTCCCACTTATGAGTGAGAATATGTGGTGTTTGGTTTTCTGCTCCTGTGTTAGTTTGCTGAGAATGATGGTTTCCAGCTTCCTCCATGTTCCTGCAAAGGACATGAACTAATTCTTTTTTTATGGCTACATAGTTTTTCATGATGTATATGTGCCACATTTTCTTTATCCAGTCTATCATTGATGGGCATTTGGGTTGGTTCCAAGTCTTTGCTATTGTAAATAGTGCTGTAATAAACATATGTGTGCATATGTCTTTATAGTAGAATGATTTATAATCCTTTGGGTATATACCCAGTAATGGGATTGCTTGGTCAAATGGTATTTCTGGTTCTATATCCTTGAGGAATTGCCACACTGTCTTCCACAATGGTTGAACTAATTTACACTCCCACTAACAGTGTAAAAGCATTCTTATTTCTCCACATCCTCTCCAGCATCTATTGTTTCCTGACTTTTTAGTGATCTCCATTCTAACTGGCATGAGATGGTATCTCATTATGGTTTTGATTTGCATTTCTCTAACGACCAGTGGTGATGAGCTTTTTTTCTTATGTTTGTTGGCTGCATAAATGTCTTCTTTTGAGAAGTGTCTGTTCATATCCTTTGCCCACTTTTTGATGGGGTTGTTTTTTTCTTGTAAGTTTGTTTTCAGTTCTTTGTAGATTCTGGATATTATACCTTTGTCAGATGGATAGATTGCAAAAATTTTCTCCCATTCTGTATGTTGCCTGTTCACTCTAATGACAATTTCTTTTCCTGTACAGAAGCTCTTCAGTTTAATTAGATCCCATTTGTCTATTCTGGCTTTTGTTGCAATTGCTTTTGGTGCTTTAGTCATGAAGTCTTTGCCCATGCCTATGTCCTGAATGGTCTGCCTAGGTTTTCTTCTAGGTTTTTATGGTTTTAGGTCTTATATTTAAGTCTTTAATCCATCTTGAATTAACTTTTGTATAAGGTGTAAGGAAGGGGTCCAGTTTCAGTTTTCTGCATATGGCTAGCCAGTTTTCCCAGCACCATTTATTAAATAGGGAATCCTTTCCTCATTGCTTGTTTTTGTCAGGTTTGTCAAAGATCAGATGGTTGTAGATGTGTTGTGTTATTTCCGAGGTCTCTGTTCTCTTCCATTGGTCTATATATCTATTTTGGTACCAGTACCGTGCTGTTTTGGTTGCTGTAGCCTTATAATATAGTTTGAAGTCAGGTAGCATGATGCCTCCAGCTTTGTTCTTTTTGCTTAGGATTATCTTGGCCATATGGGCTCCTTTTTGGTTCCATATGAAATTTAAAGTAGTTTTTTTCTAATTCTGTGAAGAAAGTCAATGGTAACTTGATGGGAATAACATTGAATCTATAATTACTTTGGGTAGTACGGCCATTTTCACGATACACAATCCAGCTTTTTAAACAAATAAGATTTTGAAAAATTGTTGAGTACTAGGTACTTGGGTTTTTTGCTTTTTGTTTTTTGTTTGTTTTTTTTGTTTTTTGTCTTTTGTTTTTTTTTTTTTGAGATGAAGTTTTGCTCTTGTCACCCAGGCTGGAGTGAAATGGCACGATCTTGGCTCACTGCAATGTCTGTCTCCTGGGTTCAAGTGATTCGCCTGCCTCAGCCTCCCAAGTAGCTGGGATTACAGGTGCCCATCACAATGCCCAGCTAATTTTTGTATTTTTAGTAGAGACAGTGTTTCACCATGTTGGCCAGGCTGGTCTCGAACTCCTGACCTCAGGTGATCCACCCGCCTCAGCCTCCCAAAATGTTGGGATTACAGGCATGAGACACCATGCCTGGCCGGTACTTGTTTTTATAATAAGAGAAGAAAAGGGGCCAGAAACAGCTTGTAATATAAGGAAATGAGATGATAAGTTTAAGAGCACTGAAACAAAAGGAATGAAAGTAGAAGACCTGGCAATTGAGAAAAAAGCCAGAACTGATTAGAATAATAATTATCTTAATATCCATGTGAATCAACAAGTGAGTTTGGCTTTTTTTTTCCCCCAGCATTTTTGTATATGTTAACAGAGAGAAAAGGTTTTCACCTGGTTCCTTTGAACTTCCTCAGTGCCAAAGTGTACCTTAAAGAATAAATTCAATTGAGGCACAAAATAGTGCAAATCTACAGCATTCAAATAGATTTTGATCTAGCTATTGCTTTTATACTGGACTTGTCCAAACAGATTTCTTTTTTCTTCCATCTGTCACCTGGCATCTAGCCAGGAACTAGTAATTCCTATAAGTAAAATCACTACACACAGTAAAATTAAAATGGAAAAATGGATTAGCAAATTGGTCTTGAAGAACAGGCCCTTAAGTTGGAATTAGCACACTTTGTGAGAATTTGTCTCTTCCTGCTAAATAGAGAAAGGGGCTACAACAGCCAAAGAGACTAGTTAGTTTAACTTTACCATCCAAATGGCGTTCTCCATAAGAGCTCTCTGGAAACAGGCCCCTTAGGTATGTTATACATGAGATGGAAGTAGCAAAAAGTTTCTTCACCATTTTCAGGGACTCATGCTCATTAGTGATTTGGGATGGGAAAACTGTTTCCTGGAAAAACAACGGAGGTGAAAAAAGATTAGTATTCTTTAATATATTCAGTTCAGCACATCATTACCACAGATATAATGAAAAGATTTCTCAGAACTTCAAATTTGATACATTTGAAGGTAATCAAAAAGAAACAGTGCTTTGAATATTACATTAAATTAGATCTTCATAGGCAAGGCAGAGCAGAAAGGCAGAAACAATTACCCAAGTAATTCAAGACTAAAACAATTTATTTCACAATGATCCATGAAACTGGAGTTTTACTATGATTATATAATCTCCTTCTCTCTCATACACTCCTCGGACCCTACTGCAATCTGGATTTTACTCCTTTCCTTTCTACACTATTCTCTTCAAAGTCACCAAGTACAATCCTATAGTTGACCTCTTCTCATCCCTCATAATATGTAACTTCTTTATATTATCTGACACTGTTACCCACATACTCTCTTTTCCTCTCCAAGGTGCCGTAACACTATTTTGGTTTTTCACCTATTCCTACATATCTGTCTCAGTCTCTTTTATTTTTTTCCAGTTGTTCTGCTCTTTAAATGTTGGTTATCCCCCAGGATTCTGTCTTCAGGCTTTTTCTCTTTTATAGCTGTCTTCTTGAATAATCTCATCTAGTTTCATAGCTTCAGCTATAGCCTATACAGAAAGGATTTAGGGTTCCTATTTCTGTTATGAGTTCCAGTTCTATATTTTTATTTCCTGAACATCTGTACCTAAACTACTTTGTAGATCACTTAAACTCAGTTTATCTCTGCCACCCCTGGCTAAAACCTGATCCCAAGTCTCATTCTCAGACTAGTGAATCAGCACTACTCCAGTCATCCAGGTTAGAAGCAGCTTCATCTTTGTCTTCTCTTTCATTCATACCCTACTAAATTCTATTAATTCTCTCTAAAAGAGTTCTCAAATCTATTTTCTCCTTTCCCTTCTCACTGCCACTGGCTTGACTAAGGACATACTTAATTATCTCCTTGATTACTACAGTAGCCCCTGATTTCGTTGCTAACAATTCTTTTATTCAACCTGTCTTCCATATTGCCATCAGAATTAATTTTCAAGGATACAAATCTTATCAGTGTTCGTCCAGGATAGAGTTCAAGTACCTTAGAGTGGGATTTGAGAACTGTCCAAATCTTATTCTTGTTTAGCTCTCCCGCCTCATCTCGTACCCCTTCTTCCCTACCCACACTCCCTTATTCTCTCCCATGCACCCAACTGTCTAGCCATGTGGAATTGCGGCTATTCATCTACTATTCTATTGCCATGTATTTCCATACTTTTGTGCTTTGCTTAAGCCAGAGCTCTGCGGAATACAAAGCTTCTGTAAGATGTCATAGTGTTCTATAAAAAGTATCAATACTAGGAATAGCTTCCTGCTAAATTTTATGTATGTGTATATATATAACATAGTAAACAAACCTAAATCATTGTTCTTAAATGATTAGATAGTCTTCCTTAAGAAATAGTGTGCCGTAAAAGGAGTGTGATAAGAGAGCAACTAGTATATGAATTTGTGACTTTTGCTTTAGAATATTTGCTGATGGATAGGTTGTGCCAGTATCTCAAATTATCATTTCAACATATGTTTGACATACTATGTTTACTGCATACACAATGTTTATTGTGTTTATGTATTAAAATAAAAATAAAAATTTGATCTGTTTTTCATAATTATTCTGTGAGGCTGCTTTTTGCTGTTTTCTTTAAGCCAAGCACAAAATATGTCTCATGAATTCCAGTCAGTATTGTGTCAATACATTATAATTTTAAAGTATTTTCTAAATATTAACAAATTAGACTATATTAAACTTTAGAACTTCTGTTCATTAATATACTATTAAGAGCATAGGTCTTACAAAGGACTCATATCCAGAATGTATAAAGAACTCCTAAAATTCTTTAAGAAAGACAATCAAATAGAAAAGTGTCTATTTGTATGAAAATAGACACTTAATAAAAGAGCATATCCAAATGACCAATAAACAAATGAAAAAGTGTTTAAATTTTATCAGGGAAGTGAGCATTAAAATCACAAGGAGGCCAGGGGTGGTAGCTCACACCTATAATCCCAGGACTTTGGGAGGGTGAGGTGGGCGGATCACTTGAGGTCAGGAGTTCAAGACCAGCCTGGCCAACATGGTGAAACCCCTGTCTCTACTAAAAATACAAAAATTAGCCAGGTGTGGTGGAGGGTGCCTATTATCCTAGCTATTCGGGAGGCTGAGGCAGTAGAAACACTTGAACCCAGGAGGTGGAGATCACAGTGAGCCAAGGTTGTACCACTCCAGCCTGGGCAACAGAGTAAGACTGTCAAACAAACAAACAAAAAAATCACAATGAGAGAATACTACACACCCACCAAAATGGCTAAAAGTTTTTAAAAGGATGTAGAATAATAAAAACTCCTAAATACTGGTTGTGGGAGTGTAAATGGGTACAACCTCTTTGGAAAGTTGCTTGGCAGTATATAATAAAGCTAAATAATCACATATCCTATGACCCATATTTGACTCATAGGTATACATCCAACACATATGTTTATATGTTCACTATAGGACATGTATTAGAGTATTCAGAAAAGCATTATTTGTAATAGACCTATGCTGGAAACCACCCAAATGCTCATCAACAGTAAAATGAATAAAACTGTGGTATATGCCCCCGATGGAATACTATATAGCAATGAGAATGAATGATCTATAACTATACCGAGTAATACAGGTAACTCTCACTCATAATGCTGAGCAAAAGAAACCAGATACAAATGAGTATTAGTGTATGATTTCATTTATATAAAGTACAAAAGCAGGTGAAACTAATTTATGCTGTTAGATGTCAAGATGGTGGTTTCTCTTGGTGGGGAGAGGTAATAATAACTAGAAGACAACATGAGAGGGAGTGCTGGTAGTGTTCTGTTTTCTGATCTGGCTTCTGGCTTACAACAATGTGTTAAGTTTGTAAAAATTCATTTAGTTGTACACTTATACATTATATGAATATATTCAGTAAAAATGTTAAGTGTTTGCTGGTCATATAAGTTTGGAAAATGTTGTCTTATGCAGTTCTTTCGGCCAGGCATGCTCTTTTTCCGATTTCCAAAGTATGAAAAATCTTAATCCAAATATGTATTTAATCTTATTACATTATAGGTACTGTTTTAGGTTCTGAGATGTAGTAGTGAGCAAAACATATAACAATCCTCTCCTTCATGTGGCTTACATTCTGTATCACTCTTAATTCATACTATAAGGATAATACTTATTACCAGTTAATATAATATTTGAAGGCAGAGTGCAGATAAATTCTGACTTTTCCCAACATAGCCAGGGGGCATGGCTAACTCCACATGTCCCTAGGCTTTAGACTCTAATGGCTCCAAAGCAGGTAAGCTGAACAATTTTTAAAAGTCAAAGAAGCAGTTTGTGACATTAAAGCATTTAGCAAACCTAATATCTGACCCAGACCAAATGTCTAAATTTTGAAGATATTTTTATTTTACCAATAATCTTTATTTTTCAAAGATTATTAAAGTCATGTAAACTAAAAGGAACTAAAGTTTTAATTCTTCTGACAAAATATTTGATTTAAGTGCTTATTTTTCTTTAAGCCAATTAATTAGCACTCTTTTATGTAAATACCATACACACAACACATATAAATACACAGACAGAAGAAGATCCAGTAATTGTAAGATTTTTCATTTGTCAGTTTTTAAGTTTCTTAATTGGATTACTGGCTTCAGGGTGGAGCCCTTGGAAGAATAGGCTCAGGAAAGCATGTAGTTTCTACGGCCTAATAAACAGGCACAGCTGGAAGGTATAAACAGATTCCCAAAATTAAGGGTCTCGTTTTTATACTGGATCCTGGATCCCCAGAAAAAGAGAGAAATGGCATAGGAAAAGACAGTACAACGCTTTTACCATGCATTTCACTGCAAGGCAGCCCAAAGTCAATCAGCCAATTTCGTAATCAGCCCATCTTATTTCTTATTCTGAGCCAAGGCATATGCTAGGTTTTCCTCAGGGAATTCTCTCTCCTCTATGCAAATTATCTTCATCATTCAAGGTCTGTCCACCTTCAGCCTTACCTCTTTCATGAGGAATATACAGACCATTCCAGTCCACATGAAATTTCTAAATTCCTACAATTTGCATTGTCTTACTCTTTTTCACATATATATAAATCATATATTGCTTTGTATATTGTCTTAACTCCTAACCAGATTATAAACTTTTGGAAGATGAAGATCGTATTTTTGTATTTTATCAGTGAATAACATAGTATTATGAATATTATGTTACATAATATTGAGTCTCAATGAATAAACAAATGATGCATTAATGAATGTCATGGGACAAACCAAACTACATGCCTGGCCCTGGGATGCTCCCCTAGACTTCTAGCATCCAAGTTTCTCTCAGTGCTCTCCCTTTCTGTTCTTATAATTACACCATGGTGTGCAACACAAGTTTCCTAACGTTTTAGGAAGTGAATATCTCACCAAGAAGCATTCTCTTTAAACATCTTTTTGTTTCTGATTTCTTTTACTCTAGAAGATCTAAATATATTGTATAAACATGAAACAAGCACCCAGTAAGTAACTTTGTAGAAATTTATTTTAATTTTCTGGTCCTTGGTCTATTAGGCAGTTAAAATGTACACATACTCTCCCAGAATATTATGTGCTAATTAACTGATAAAATTGCTGCTTACAAACACACATACAAAAGATTAAAATTATAATTCTGAACTAACTCACTAAATGGTCATTGATTTTCTTTTAATTATTAACAAATACCTTAGATGCTTTGTGTATTGTGATGGAGTGAGAAAGCTGAGCAGTGGCCATTGTAGAAATGTATCAGGATTATTCCAACAAGTCCAACCTATTAAAAAAAATAATTAATTCATTAGAGACCTTGCCAAATATAATGATTCCTCTCTTACTCTACCCAAAAATGAAATTGAAAAAGTCTAAAAGCAAACAAAAAATTAAAATCAAGGACAGTTAAGTATAAACTGTTTTCCAGATTGTTCAGTTTAGAGAGAAATTTACCAAGCTACATTTTGAAGAAGCAAAGGAAGAATGAATGCTAAGATAATTCTATCAGACCCTATCTAAACTATAAAATGAATTTGAGTTGAAAAAAGTACTTATTGTTAATTTTTCAAAGGAGAACTATATAATTAAAATTTGATCACACTCTTTGGGAAACAAGTTTAATAAACATTTTTATCTATAATTTTGGCATAAGGTCTCTGGATGAATTTTTCCATCCACTCAGTGAAAATTATAAGATTATTTATTTGTTCACAAATATATTTGGAGGAGAAAATACATTGTAAATCACCTAGAGACTCAATATATATTATTAATCCTTGTCATTCCCTCAGACTGTAACAATGCTCTCTATATAGCAAAGGCTCAAAAACATTTCCTGAAATAACTTCGGTTGTAATTTATTTGCAACTTCAACTCAAAAGTTAATGTTTATACTTCATACCCATTAAAACAGTTATTCATCCAACTAGCTGAAAAAGAAATCAAGAGAGAAATCTCATTTACAATACCTACCAAAAAATTAGGAATACATTTAAGAAAGTGAAAGATTGCTACAATGAAACTACAAAATGCTGATGAAAGAAATCGAACAGAACACAAAAAGATGGAAAAAAAGAAAGAAAGAAAGAAAGAAAGAAAGAAAGAAAGAAAGAAAGAAAGAAAGAAAGA